CTTTGAGTCCATTTATAAGTAGTTTTGCAATTGTTTATATGGCTGAATACAGTTTTATTTGTAGATAAACCTGAGTCCTATGCACTGATTCTTAAAAAGTAAGAAGTGCTTCTGTTGTTATAAATGTTACTCAGAAAGAATGATTTAAAATATATATATTCTTCCTACTTATTTGGATGTGTTTGGTTGTTAAAGAACCCTTTACCTACCAGGTAAGAAGATTAATGAATTTTTGTTGCTGTCAGTGACCAGAATTTGCTTGAATATTTTATACCTGCATGAATGCTATGGAGCAACTGGGAGTGGTGAAAAACCATTAGTTAATGTGTCCCGGACTAAATCTTAATAACATGCCACTTCTATGAATCAGCATGCAAACAGGAATTAGGTTAGAGGCTTGTTAATTGCAGCTATTCACCACTCTGAGTTATTTGATAGATCTTACATGGAATACATATTCACTTGAATTCTAATCATAATTTTCCTTTGGTCTTCTCCCATCCAAAAGATTAAAGGGCAGTATTTCAGTGAGTTAGAACAAACAAAGATAGCTAGCTAGACAGAAGAAACCAATCTCAGTTTAACGTGAGATACACTGTAAGACCCATCACATTTAAATTCTATATAGTAATTCCCATTGTTTGTTTTTTTAGTTATTTATGCTATTGAGCAGTATTTAAACAAAGAGGTATCAAATGAAGGAAAAGTCATGCTCTCACATTTTAAGATTTCGGAGACGCGCTTGTGGTGGCAGAACCACATAAAGTTTCTCTTTCAGGACGGCATCCACAATCTTCCTGCCTACAGAAGCTACATCGAGGATAGGAAGTAGAAATGTAGGTCTGAAGAAAGAGAAAACATTGATTCAAGAAATGCTGGGGGGGGGGGACGACGACGACACCCTGAATTGACCAAAAAATTATTAGTTCCACACACCTACATGCATTTTGTCCCTTGAGCACCAAGTTTCATTTGCTGAGGCTCTTTACTTAGCCTTTTCTAAATTTGTATGAATTCATTGTCATTCAAAAGCCAGCACTTACTTTATTTTTACACCAGCAATTAATCTTGTATTCACATAACTAGGACACACAATGGTGGTTTTAATGCCATTCTTCCCTTCCTTCCTCAATTCAAGAGTGAGAGCTTCCAAAAATCCAAATGCTGCATATTTACTGGCAGAATAGTCTGCAAAGTGGAAAAAGCCGAAAGATTAAAACATAAGGATGAGTAGTACTGTATCCTTCAATGAAATTAGAGAACCATGTTCTTCTGAAACAAATGAATTCTTACATTACAGCTCTCTTAAAACCCAGTCCTAAACTCAATTCAGTATATAAGTGCTTGTGGTTCAATGCAAACTTGGATGTACAGAGCTGGTGTACTTTTAAACATTTTGTTTCCTGATGGAAGACAACAAATGCTATCTTCTTGCCCTGATGGCAAACTTCATTGCAGTATCTGTCTTAAAAACAGTATAAGCAGAATTCCACCAGGATCTCTCAATTTCTATAAATTAGTAGTGATTCAAAACTCCAGGAATAACATGTGGATTTGCTTTTCTTAAACACTTCAGAGCATATGTGTGGATTTGGGCTCTAACCCAGTTCAGACCAGAATAAGGGCATATATATTGGCATCCAACACATACTGTGCCCTTTTGGGGATACCTCAACTTGATCCTTGTCCATGCTGGTATTAGTACTTTCCTGGATTTTCAGGGCAAGAGGACAGTCCTATGAATAGGACCATGCAAACAGGGAAGCCAAATTTCTTTCCGCCACATGGAATTCCATCTCATCCCTTTCTCTTTCTCAGACCTCTCATATATTGTCCATAAGACAGCAAAGTAGATCTCTTCAAGAAAATAAAAGGTTTATTTCTGTTGATTCTGTTCTCTTCAGCCAGAACACTTTCCTGGGTTACCTGTTTGTGGAAATATAATTTGCACTTCCCAAATTCGATCTTCATCCGTGTTGGAAGGGGTGGGGAAAAGAGTCATCCCAATAGTCAGACCACATTTATTGAAGATGATTTGGGATGTCCCAATTATAGACCATGTATGAAATGCCAATGGCGATAGTAGTTTTATGTTTCATTTTGTTCTTGCCAGGCATGTTTCCCCAAATCACCACAAAACAAATGACAAAACGGCCTAATTTGTGGATCTTTTTTCCTTCGTGACTCATTTTCTGCCCATCTCTATTGCAATCCAGACACTCAAAGGAAGGTTTCCTTCTATACCAGCATCTTGCGCTTTAACATATATTCCCTCAATTCTTTTCTTTAAGTAGTTAATTCTACAAACCGAGACACTTTGTTTTGTAGTAGTTCTGATACAATTAGCTCTGAGTTTTAATTACATAGACGTAATATATACCCTAATTTCCCGCCAACCTAGCGGTTCGAAAGCATGCAAATGCAAGTAGATAAATAGGGACCACCTCGGTGGGAAGGTAACAGCGTTCCGTGTCTAAGCCACACTGGCCATGTGATCACGGAAGATTGTCTTCGGACAAACGCTGGCTCTGTGGCTTGGAAATGGGGTTGAGCACCGCCCCCTAGAGTCGAACACGACTGGACAAAAATTGTCAAGGGGAACCTTTACCTTTACCTTTATACCCTAATTTAATTTAATTTAATTACATAAATGTAATATATACCCTGATTTACTGACCTGTGGTACCATTGCTTCCAAAGAATGCTGCAACACTTGCAATAGTAACCAAATGTCCCCGGTTGTGGGTAATCATGGCTGGCAGAAAGGCTTTGCAAGTCTGTGACACAGTTGGGAAATAAATATCAGGCATGCTTCATAACATTTTCATAGAACAAATATTAATAGATCAATCATAAGTAGATGTTCGGGATCTTAATATTCATTTAACTTTTGAATATTTGGATTCAGATCATTAAGTAATTTCAAGAAAAAGTGGTAACTTACTCTACTGCTTTCAGTAAGTCTAAGAATACTGAACACTGTTTTATAGGAAGGTATTTAGGAGGGGGAAAAGTTCATATTAGGAGAAAGTTGTTTAGTATTATAAAGTAGTATGATTTGAATAAACTAATATTAAATTATTGTAAATTAATTAATATTATTATGATAATGAACACAGAACCATCTTAGGGTTGCATTTTCTAATGTCAGGCATTGTCAAATGGAGTCAGATCCAAACCATACATATCTTGTAGTTACACTTATTGACAAAATCAGAATAATTACCCAGAAATGTGCCTTTGTGTTGACTTTGAGGGTTTCTTCTATTTCAGAGTCAGAAAGATCAAGAAAACTCTTTTTATTCAATATACCTGCATTGTTGACTAGAATATTTACATCTCCCACTTCTTTTTTGACCTATAGTAAAAAGAAGAAATTGAGATGCAATAAAAAATGTAGAATTTGTGATTTAGTAACATGGCCTAGGCCCCAGAACATATGTGGGCAGCTTTAAGACCATGTGGCTCACATGTGCTCTTCCTTTGATCTTGGAGGATCACACCCTCTCCCATATATCTCAGTCCAAAACAATATTTTTCTTCTGATTTTTTTCTTAAACTCGAAAAGCATTTTCTGCTTTGTAGCTTCACAAGTTTT